CGGGCTTCTGCTTTTCGCCAGGCCATGGGGCGATCTCTCGGCCGTCGGCACGGCACCTAACCCTGGGCCGGAGCGCAGCGATTCGTGTCGCCACGCATGCCCTGGGAGGAGGAGGAGGAGGAGGAGGAGGAGGAGGAGGAGGAGGAGGAGGAGGAGGAAGCGAGGAGGAATCGAGGAGGAAGCGAGGAGGAAGCGAGGAAGCGAGGAGGGAGAGAGGAGGAAAAGGGGGAGATGGAGGAGGGGAGGAGGTAGAGGAAAAGTGGGGGGAGGGGTAATGAGGAGGAATGGAGGGAGGGGGGGATGGGCGGGGGGGAATTGACGACACGTATCTGCTGCTGTGACGTTTCTGGAGCATGCAGAAACGGGGGCTGGCGAGCCTCTTGGGGTCTCCTGGGCGCCTCTTGGGGGCGTCTGAGGTCCTCTGAAGGGCGCCTCAGGAGCACCTGGGAAACCTGTGGAGCCACGTTGGGGAAACAAGGCTCGGGACCGTCTTGGAGGCCTCTGATGGGTGCTTGGGCACCGCGCCACCAGTGAGAGGGAGGCACGTCACCGCGCCTCCGAGCGTACCCCCTGGAAGGAGGGAGAAGATCGCTGACGCAACAACTTCGAGTGCCAGGCCAGGCGAGGCGGGAATGGCTCTTCCAGCGGCCAAGAAGCCCGGGCACGCCGGCCTGGCACACTCGCCCTCCGCCGGCGCCACTGCATCTGCGGGGCAGCCCAGGCTCGACGATCCAGCCTCTGTGGTGTTGTGGCTTCCTGGCGTGGCGCGAGGAGGAGGAGGAGGAGGAGGAGGAGGAGGAGGAGGAGGAGGAGGAGGAGGAGGAGGAGGAGGAGGAGGAGGAGGAGGAGGAGGAGGAGGGGGAGGAGGAGGAGGAGGAGGAGGAGGAGGAGGAGGATGGCATGGGACGGTCAGGGATACTGATGGAACGTAGATGGAGGGGCCTCGACGGGTAGACTCCGGGAGGGGCCCGAGAGAACTCCGAAAGGCCAAACGTGCTCACGAGTGCGTCGTCCTGATCGTCTGGGTCGAGCAGCTCGCTGTCGGTGGTCTTGTGTGCTGGTGAGGGCCCTTCGCAGGGATTTGGCGCGTTGGCCTGCACGCGGGTCTGAACGGAAGACGCTCGCAAGCAACCAACCGACCGACCGAACGATCGGCCGACCGAGCAAACCAACCGACTGACGAAGCAACCAGCAATCCAACAAAACAACCAACCAACCAACCAACCAACCAACCAACCAACCAACCAACCAACCAACCAACCAACCAACCAACCGACCAATCACCCAATTAATCAATCAACCTACTGACGAACCAGCCAACAAACCAGCCGACGAACCAGCCAACCAACCAACTAACCAACCAAACAACCAACCAACCAACTGGCCGACGAACCAACCAACCAACTAACCAACCAGCCAGCCAGCCAGCCAAGCAGCCAGCCAAAAAACTAATCAATCAATCAACCAACCAACCAATCAACCAACCGGCTAGCCAGCCAACCCACTGACCAACCAACCGACCGACCGACCGACCAGCCAATTTTAGCACGCCCCTCACGCGGATCGCGCCTCGAGGACTGGATTTTTATTGAACCCTCAGAGCAAATTTCATTGACCCCCCAGAACAAATTGTACAGAACCTGCTTCCGTCCCATAGCTTGTCACACCAGCGGCATGCGACCTCGCGTTGCGCGGTTGAGAGGGCCATCTGCTTCGTGATGTCCGTGCCCGGCGTCCCGAACGCATGGTGTACTGCGGCAATGATGTGGTTGACGCCCCACGCCATGAAGTCCGCGCGAACGAGGAGGAGCAGGAATAGGAGGAGCAGGAGGAGGCGGAGGCGGAGGCGGAGGCGGAGGCGGAGGAGGAGGAGGAGGAGGAGGAGGAGGAGGAGGAGGAGGAGAAGGAAGGAGGAGAGGAGGTGAGGAGGAGGGAAGAGGGATTGAGTGAGGGGAGGGAGGGAGGGAGGGAGGGAGGGAGGGAGGGAGGGGAGGAGGGAGGAGAGGATGAGGAGGAGGAGGATGAGGCGGAGGCTGCCTGATGAGGGCGAGGAGGAGGAGGGAGGGAAAAGGAGGGAGGGAGGGAGTAGGCGATGAGGAGGGCCGCGCGCGCCCCCGCTCAGCACGTGCGCTGCCTCTTCGCCGCCGGGGGCTCCTCCGCCGGCAGGTCTCCGCCCCCGGGCTCGCCGAACAGCCAGGCGAGGAGGCGCTCCTGCGCCTCCGCCTCCTCGCTCGGTCCCCCCAACAGAAACATGTCCACCGGCAGGGGGCACGAGGAGGGAGGGAAGGAAGGGAGGGAGTGAGGGAGGGAGGGAGAAGGGAGGAGGAGGAGGAGGAAAAGGCAGAGCGTGGGCATGGAGGAGGAGGAGGAGGAGGAGGAGGAGGAGGAGGAGAAGGAGGAGGAGGAGGAGGACGAGGAGGATGAGGAGGAGGAGGAGGCGCAGGAAGGAGGAAGAAGGAGGTCAAGGATGCGAGGAAGGAAGCAGGGGGATCGGGGGGGG